TATCAAAAATTAAATTTAAAAAAAATTAATATTAATTTATAAATTTCATAATCATATTCAGTAATTTTTATTAAGTTTATATGACTTTTCTGATAGTTATTTTAAAACTTCATTACTTATTAAACTCTTAAATGGTATTTCTAACTAAGAGCCAATATGGAGAATTAATTTTCTGTTTAAAAAATGTTACATAGTTCAATATTAATTTTTTTAAACAGGATCTCATATTTTTAATTAAAGTATTTTACTAATTTCAAATATAACTAAACATTTCATAAAATAAATTGTAAATGACTTCTCAAATAATTATTTTCAAAAATTATGTTAATTATATTGTTAATTGGACTAAAATAATTTTAAATTAACTGTACAAAGAAATAGATTTAAAATTTTATAACAGCTAATTTCTATCAAATAAAATTTGTCTTTATCTCCTAAAAATTTTTAAAAAGCATAAGGATCCCTAAATTTAGGCTTAAATATTTAATTTCATAAAATTTAATATAAATTTTTTTCCTTAGTGTCATTAAAGAAAAAAAAGTTAGCAACACAAATATTGGGTGAGGCGAAAGAAGTGGCCTAATCATACCTCAAGTCACTTGAAACCAATTTGAAAAACACGTTTACGTAGAAAAATTTATTTTATGGAATGCTGCTGTAAAAAAAATAAATAATAAAAAAAAAATAAATAAAACCTGCACAGAATAATATTTGTTCTAATATGGCAGAGACTTGATTGTAAGTGTTTTCCATAAATCTGAGTAAGCGAAAATATCATTTAGCTTCCAAAGAATGCCAAATACATTAACATGTGAAAAAATTACTACATCCATCTTGTAAACCCATAGACAACACAGGTTCACATCCAAGAGGAGGAACTAAATTATAATGGGATCTTTGCAATGCTTTTATATGCATCACTAGAGGTCGCAAGTTTAATTCAGCCCATGGATTAAAGTGCTATAATGTTTCAATAAAGAATTGCCACATATTTCTACAAACCACAGGCGGGCAAAGAAACCATAGTAAAAACTTTGAAAGATTACTAAGAAAGACAAAGGTCTACTAATCTCTGACACCAAGATGCCTAACATATCAAACCCCAAATATTAACAGTAAGATTTAACATACAAGCTAAAATCCTTCTTTACAATACTTAACATGCTGGTTCTGATTCCTAGAAATTTTCTATTTCTGTAGACCACACAGAAAGATAGATATTAGATACTGAGTGTCAGACTCAAACACTTCTCATTTAACTATACTAAATTGATATTTCCATGAGTCCTTTTTATTAAATTTTATGATGGCATTTGTCCGTAAAAACCTACTTCATCCAGGACACTGGAAGAAAAAAACAGAAGAAACTAGACAAAATGGAAGATAAGTAAATTATTTAGTGAATTAAGTGCTTTACATGTTTAATGTGTGATTTGTTAATTTAGTAGCATTAATAAAATTTGATTTTGCTGTTTTAACAGTTCTCGTACAATTATAAAGTTTTCCTATACTCATTTACATAAAATATTGGAGGACATTAGTTAATACAATTTCTTCAGAAATTTGTTACAAATATTTTTATATACAATCACTGCTTTTGTTTTCCCATACTTAAAAATTATACATTAAATAGTTATGAAATCAATACTATTTTTCAAAATAGATTGTAATTATAAACAGTTTTTAAAATTATTTCAATGTTTAATATTTCTTTTTTATTGAGACTCAACTGAAGTAAAAAAGAACAAACTACCAATATTTTTACTAAGTGCAAAATTTATAGTATTTTTAAATCTGGAGACCAATGGGTAGAATATCCTTTTTATATTAAGGTAATTTGCATAGATAAAAGACAAATTAAAGTTTTAGTAGTTCACCTATTTTATTAGTCTACGTTAAAATACCTATATTTATTTAGGGAATAAATATTTAAATAATTTAGGGAATTCATTTAATTTTATAAATGTAAGTAAAAGCTTAAGTAATATTTCTATCGAAAATTATTTACATTCAAGTATTTTTTTACTATAAACTATAAATGAAAGCTCTGTTAATAAAAAGAAATATTTAAAAATGAATGCATTTTCTGCTAGTAGATTAATATTGTAGAAAAAATAAAATTAGATAAACCTATATTTTATTTAAATACATTAAAATATAATGTGTTTACTCACTTTAGCCCCTTTTTAACTCTACAATTAGTCTATAAAAAATATTAATTGAAGTCAGCCCCGAATGGATCAGGTAGCTCACCCTTAATTAATTTTTCTCCCCCAACAATCTAAACCTTTTGATGTGAATATCTATGTTCTAAAAGACAACTGTAGTGAGAAAGTACAATAAATAAATAATATATATATGCTATTTTTTTGCTTATAACAAGTGAACAGTACGGTGCTTAAGTCAAATTATGCTATTTGTTGTCCCACATATTTGCATTTCAACAACATTTTTTTAATAAAATCTTATTTTTATTTATTGTTAACTGTGATCATTATATAACAAAAGAATTTTTTCACCAAATATAATTAGAAGAATATTTTTAAAAAATCAATACAAAAAACAAAAAAAAATCAGAAATCTTAAGCAATAACTGGCCAAACCAAGTACAAAATTCTGTGCCTTAATAATTTTGGATTAACAGTTCAATAACTATGTGGAATAACCCTCGAGATTCATTTCTTTTTATTTCAGCATAAAAAAAATTTATATTGGTGAAACAATATATTTTTTACTGATGATATATTTTTTCTCAAAATTAATCTAACCCCATCATCATATAACAAAAAAGTTATAAGCGAGATTAAGTAAAAAACTTTAAAAGCAAACATTCGTAAAAGTTAGGAAACATTTGATAATAACTTGATGACAATTGACGCCAAGTTATTAACAAACGTTGTCAAGTATTAACAAATGAATTTCACATCTTTATGCGCCATTTTGAAAATATTTCTATTTCAGTGGTTTCCTCTTTTAAAATAAAAATAAAATATCAGGATATAAAAATTAGTACAAAAAGTAATACAAATACTGCCAAAAAAGCGATTGATAAAACCATACAGGCTTTAATACAATTATCAGGAATTATCTTAAAAAATTATTGCTGTGATTCAACTTCAGAATTCACATGCAAATATATTGTATAAAAAATTTGGGATTTTAAAATCTGTAGGCAATAAATTCAGAAAAGTGATGAACAAGATCACATGAAATTACTATGGAATCTTTGTGAATTAAGTGTGAAAAATTATATTGAGTAAAAAATATAAGGGCTCCAAAACTCTCGTAAAAACATGCAATAATAACTAATGGAAAATGAATAATAAATTATGTAATTAATTGTAAATTGGGTGCATCAAAAAAGTATATTAAAAATATTAAGATTTGAATAAACATGAGGAAATCCTAAGCAGAAACTGCTGCCAAATGATTGAAAAATAGTATAGGTTTATGATGGAATTGTTGCAAATCAAGCACATAAAAAATATTGATTACTCAAAAGCTCTCTTTCAGAATGGTATCTCACAAAATAATCAATATTTTGAAAATTCACTGACATTACTAATATTTAAAAATTAAAAGTACAAGTTGTTTAGAATATTTTATAATCGATATACAGTAGAATCTCAATTGATCGTTTCTCATGAGACCATTTATTTCAAACAATAGATACAGGAAAACGACAAATGGGCCTAGCATAAACTATCAAAATGATATGAAAATATATAAAGGGTAATGAAGAAGTATATGATTTGAAACTTAATAACTTAACAATAAATGTATTGAATTTTAATTGTAAAATTTAATACTTAACGCAAAAATAAGTATGATACAAAACATATTTATTTATTTAGAAATTTTCATTCAAACATTCTTTTCTTTTCAGCGCAAACAATAAATTTTCAATATTACTAACAGATTAATGATCAAATTCAGAAAGTCCCTCATTGTTTCAAAGGCTTTGAAACTTTACGCAAATGTTGGTTTAGCCATTGTTACCGGTATCACTTTGTATTTCTTCAGCTTTTGCAACCATTTCTTGAACCAAAAATTCCAACACTTCCACCAAATGGTATATAAACATCAAACGGACAGTTTTATGTGTTTTTCATAGACTGTAATATGTTCTAATTTTTTTCCATCATTAGCAGTTACTATTTTTATTTTATTTTTCTTTTCAAAACAAAATAACAATATTTTCTTTTAACTGTCAATAGAAATTCTAAACGATAGACGTGGGAATCTGTATCAAATACGATCTAAACGGGTATTAATGTAGGACCGTTAAAACAAGATGTTACATATGGCATCTAGGCTCAACAGTATCTATCTGTTTTTTGAATACACATAAACAATAAATGATATGTATCAAATAATTATATGTACCCAATAATTTGTAACATAACTTTTGCATTTGTATAGATTAAACCATTTTACATTTGGCTACCATGTCATATTTCTAGAACACTAGATAAAACCTTTTTGGTCCAATCTAATCTCAAAATTGTCATTGTTGGTCATATCAGACAAATTAGTCAACTCATATTTACTTCTACATTATTTTGCATTGGTTTCTTATTTTTTATTTAAGAAATAAATTACTTTATTTTAATAAAAATTGTTTAATACACATCTCGGCAAATAAAATGATAATGTTATTGTACAAGTCTGGGATTGATACTGTCTATATACTCACTAAGACAGGGTGACATCTGTTTCATAAATTAGAGAAATATTTATAGTTCTGAATTTTTTTTTATCCAGTTTTATGATAAATCAGTTTACAAATCATATATTTGAAAAAGATAAATTTCATGCTTTTATCTGTCAAACAATATTAGAAAATTTAGTTAAATTACAAGCAAAAGAAAAAAAATAATTTTAAGGGAAAAAGAGTTATAGTTTCATTTATCATTATTCTGCATACCCATGAATCCTTAATCGATGCAAGCTAAGATTATTCTGATTATTTGACGTTTATGAAACTAATTTGAACCTACCTTGGAATTGTTATGCACCTGGTGTTAGGATCCTGAGTTGTAATTGAGTTTTCTAGTTCTTCTAAACCACCGGTTCTCCGGAGTTTTTTGACTAAACTTTTGACAGCTTTTTCACTCCAATTTTCTTCACCTTCTCCCCGCTTCCATCCAAGAAGGCGTCGCACAACTGGTAGCATGAAGGGGAAAACCGCTGACATACTTCACAATGCCAAATCGAAATTTACGCTGGCCTTTCATCCAGTATTAACATAGCTAACTTTTCAACATAATAAATCACTACCTCCTTTCAGAGACTAAATAAAAAAATGAAAGGAAAAAAGATAAAAATCTTACCAAGTATCAACTGGAAAAATTAAAGTATTGTCCAGCTTTATTTAACTGAAGAATCTTGATGACAGGCAAAAAACAATTTTATAAATTTATGTAAACAGAAACCTTTGATACTCACCGATCGCAAAAAAACGGCTGCCGCCTGGTGGAACAGATTTACAGTATTAACGGTAGTATTACATGCATTTCGGTATTTTTTAAACAATCAGCGTATCAATTAATCACCGACAAATCAGTGACGATCTTGCTATTTCTAACTAGTTACAATTAGAAACAGCACCCAACAACGTAAAGCTACACTATGCGCGTTACTTTCTGGAAACAGAAAGAAAAATATTAAAGAAAAATAATATTACACTGTTACCAGTGGAGTTGAGTTGAGGAAAACTGACACAATTTGTAACATTGTCGCAGTGGAAAATAGACAAATAGGTGGGGCTTCTGGCCATGTGATTTATATTTCCACCAATCATGGAGCGAAATTTCAGTGACATCCGTTAGAGCCTCCGTGGCCTAGGTGTATTGTTCTTTCGTCAAGTTTCGAGTAAGATATTAGTAAAGGGTTCAAACCTCGCCGAAATTCTGGATCTTAGGTAAAAATAATAAGACTTTATTGATATTATTGGAAATTATAAGACTTTATTGATATTCAGAACCCAAGACCGAATGAAAATGTCTGGGTGAATAAATAAATAAAGTGATTTCTGCTGCTTCAAATTTCCTGCATATTCTAATTTTTTTTAAAACGATGATCGTTTGTTGTCTACGGATCATTCTCAGGGATGTTTCCCAGACCGTCGCGAATAGCCCTCTGTGCAGCTCTGGAGTGACGTAAATAAAAGTACATTACAGTAAGCAATTATCGTAAAAGCTGGGGGTCGTTTTTATTACAAGCGATTCACATACACGCTTGTACGATTGCTAAGAAAATATGAAATGCTTACGCATAACCCATGTGCGAATGATGATATAACCATGAGAGTCAACCCATGTGCGAATCGGAAGCAGTGGAGACAGTCTGGCCTACCAGCCTCACAATCCTGCCAAACGTTCTATAACGTGGAGGTGACAGGTTCTATCCCCACAACAACCATGAATACATTTTCATGATGACCTTCTTTAGCTTATGCAATCTATTCTTCTAATTAAACTCAGAAAACATGTAACCTTACGACAACCTTGTGTCTGAATTTTCTTTTCATTGTCACGAAAAGTTTTGCGGTAAAAACCTTTTGTCAATAAAGCAAAAATAATGCCATTTCTAACCTTTTATCCTAAAATGAAAACTAAATGATATTCACAGCTTTTTTTTTTTAAAATGTCGTTATTTAGGTTAGGAAATGAGCAAACGGCAAACCTTACTTTTTGCATTTTTGTTTGTTGGCATGATAACGTCAGCAGAAATATAAAGCGAAAACTTTTTTCCAAGGAAACGAAGTAAGGCAAATATTAACCTTTCAAGCGAAAATATTAATAAATAATAAAAATTGTGATGGCATGTCTTCGGATCATCCTCAGGGATGTTTCCCAGACCGTCGCCAATAGCCCATTATGCAGCTCCAGTGCGACGCAAATGAACTACAACTAAAAAAAAAAAAAAAAAAAAAAAAAAAAAAAAAAAAAAAAAAAAAAACTAATTTAAGGGAAGGCAAATAAACGGGCATAAGACAATGTTTTTGGTTTGTTTTCTCAGGTCTGCGAAAGTACAAAAATATATATGTACACAAAAAATTCACCCAACAGTCAATTGTGAACTAGAGGGTCATCGATATAAAAACTCCACGGTATATGACAAACGGCGGGATGGTGACAGTAAAATCAGCATTGTGCACCTACCATCTTTATTTCTCTGACAAGCTGGTACGCGCTCTAGAGGTGGGTGGATTCAAAGCCTAGACCCACAACTTTTTTTTCATCATATCTTTGGAGTGAATTTAAAAACATTTTGTACAGTCGGCAAAGGAAAAAGATATCACCCTGAATTACTTTCGTTCTAATAATCGGATTTTCACTTACTAAGGGGCAATCTTAATCTTAATGGTTCCTGTGAGTGACTTCAAATATGCAAATTGCTTAGCGTTAACTATTAATTAAGTTATGAAATCGGACACAAAAATGTACTTTCTCTGAATAAACATGCATTTTTTTAACATGTTTGGATTCTTAACTTTCAAAACATAGGGGGTAGCCGCCATCTGGGAAAAATGGTCCCCATAGTTTGGTCAGGAGAGCAATTTAAAGTTCGGACCCCTTAATGTTAATTTCACTTTTTGCATTTTTAGTCATATTTTTAAAACTAATTAGGCAATTAAAAAAAAAACTAAAGAAATTCCCCCACTTATAAATCCCATTTATGCAAAGATAATTTGAAGCAAAAAATAATTTTTTAATAATTATTTATTATTTTTTATTATTTAATTTAATTGTGAATTAAAAAATTTTGAATTATGAGGTATAAATTTTTTATACCAAATTAATCTACATAGTTTTCGATTGCAAAATTTAAAGTTTCAACAGTTTTTATTTGGTAGAAACCGAGAAAAATAAAAATTATTTATTTAAAAAAAATAATTTAGCAACAATGGAGAAATATTAAATAGGGCGATTAATAATTAAATGTGGTTAACTTACGCGCGCGTAGAGTAAAATTCCGTTCATATTTTTTTCGCTAATAACGAATTTCTAATCCTTTTTTTTTAAATTATAAAATACGATGATTCTTTTTTAGTCGTCTGAAAATTTAGTCGTAGTTTAATAAAGAGATTTGAATAAAACATTTTATTGAATAAAAACATTTTATTCAACGAATGTTGAGTTTTATAAATGCATGTTTCTGATAGAATGCGATTATACATCAGTTCTTTTTAATTTTAGTTTTCAGTTTTTTCTTTCAATAACAACCAATGCATAGATTTGGAATAATATGTTTTTCAACTTCTACATTATATATCTTATAATTATTGATACGAATAAGTAGTCAACATTTTTAAGCATCTTAAAATTTTTCAACATCTTATAAATATTCTTAATCTTAAAATAAGTTTGTTAATTACCTGTCTGCCCGTGTTTCGAAGAATTATTTTACCAGGTATTTAATTAAATGTTAACATTTCTCAAAATCATATTTCTTACGCTACCACGTATATTATTTTTTCTTTAATATACTAATCAATTGTTTTAGTACTTTAATTTATGTTTTCCTTTAAAGTGAAATTTCTTTCTAAATTATTGTCAAGTTTTAATTGAAAGAAAACTTAGATTAATTGTTAGCTAGCTGAGAATTAAATATTGTTAAGAAATTAAAAATATTCTGCTGATCAAAATTATTCGATTCAGAACAGTTGACTATTTACTAAGCGTACTATTTTTTTCGAGAAATGAAGATAAAAAATGAAGATCGTCCTTTTTTATTGTTTCTTATTTATTTGAGTAATTAAAAGTAAATGCATATATGTGCAAAAAATACAACATTTTGCTTTGTTTTTCAAATGAACAAAAAATCACGGACATGCAATTTCATTTTGTCGATCAAGGTTATTCTTGCCCTCTAACTTTAAGAAAGTTGCCCTTTTAAAAAGGATAATGTTGAAAAAAATTGCTTAAAAAGTTGTTAATATTATTTCTCAACTTTAGCACAATTCAAAAAAATAGTGCATATCAAGAATATGCTCGATATGCCTTATTTTGTCATCGATTCAAAAACCGCGCTATTTTCAGAATCATCATCTCAAAAATTGTCTTTTTTTCTAACATTTTTCTAACTTTCTTCGCGCTCCCGTGCCACAGGTCCTGGGTTCGATTCTCGGGCCGGGCTAGGTTGACTCAGAATTTCATCCCTTCAGTGGGTCGATAAATGAGTACCAAGCATGCTTGGGAACTAAACACTGGGGGTTCCGCGTTCGGCTGACAATCTGACCGGAACATCTGCCCCTGCACCCCAGAGCCCAAGGTCAAGAAAACTGAGATGGGCACAGTAGGCCTTGGCCCACTATGGGCTGTCGCGCAGCTGAGTTTTAGGTTTTTTTTCTACTTAAGTAACCTATAAAAAAATAGTCTTAACACATGTTTTGAAGAAATTATGAATACAAATTGTGATCTAATATTTCTTAATAAGGAAACAAGAATATTAATGGTTCATTGATAATTGAATTAATTTTTTTCGAAATTATCGGCCTTGCAACTATTTAACGTTGATTGTTTGGACTAGGGGTCATTTCATGCATGTCATTAGACTTCGAAATTTCAAATATAAAATGCAAAAATTACAGGAATGCATAAGCTGGCTTTAACTAATAAAAAAAAAAGGCCAAAAGGAGTTATCTCATGAGAAGAATGTCAGAGTCAAAAAAGTATTGTAAAAATTGCAACAATTGTTACTATTGTTTAATTAGGGTTAATCTAAACCTAAATTTTCCTTTTTTTTTCATTTCATAAATTATACTTTTTTAATACCTAATAAAATGAGTGTTTAAATCATATCCATTCTTTTTACTGCAAACCAAGTTTACTTGATAGTTGTGTTAAGTGTTGAAGTTAGTGTAAATTCTTGGGCCCCCGTGTAAGGTAGTAGGATGTATGATTAATAGCTTCAAGAGTGGACTCTTATATTAGTAGGTAGCTAAGTTCTTTAAAAATTCTAAATTGGAAAATTACTTGTTATTTCATAAATGGAGAGCATCTATATTTTTTTAAAAATGGTTATTCATATAATTTTTACATTTGCCATCAGTTTTCTCTTGATAACGCAAAAACCTTGACCCTGGTAATCAGCCAAAAATTAAATCATTATGAATTATTATCTTTGAACTTTTTTTAAAATTCTCTAACCTTGCTATTTAAACACTATGATCCGCTGCAAAATACTTGAGTCAAAATAATGGCATATTTTAATTTTTCACAATTAACATACATCAACATAGTTAAAGAAATTTTAATATTATTTTTAAAGATTAGAAATAATTTTTTCAAAGAGCTCATCTCCCTAACAATACTTCGGCGAATCATAAAAAAATAATTTAGCACAATTTATGAGTTAGTTTTTTCTCTACATTCCCCCACGCAATTTAAAATTCGATGTTAAAATCAATGAGGTTTTGTAAAAAGAAACTGTTACAAACTAACTGAAATAAAAGAACTGATAAGAAAAGATACATAAAAGTTTGTTACTCTACACTAAATAAATTACTTATAGTAAATAATCAAAATATAAATTTACAAAACATTTATTTGTTTTATATAATTTTTAAATTTAAAAATGAGAAGTTTTATGGCATTAAGCTAATTTGTATTCAACATTATTTGTAATGTTTAAAAAGCTTTAAAGGTATCAATGCTACAAATCAATGCTTCAAATAATTAAAAATCAAAATGCCGCGATTTTAAGAAT